GCTCGGCGAGCCTCCACAGCGCGCTGCGCCGAAGGGTGGAGGTCGCCACTGCTGGGGGCAGCCTGCCCCCTGAAGCCGCCCCCACGGCGGCTGGGCTCAGCGCGCCGCGCCGAAGGGAGCCCAGCCGCCACCGTGCGGCCGCCGGCCCACGAACAGGCCGTCGGCCTGGCCGTGCGCCGTGCCGCGCTGCCTGACGCCCGCGGGCGTGGGCGCGCGCGGCGCCCGCCCATGGGCCCTGACGGGCCCCTTTTTTCTGAAACCCGGCCCCCTCTCCCTCTTCTGAGGTTTATATCTGGTCCCTGGTCCTCCATGCTCTCCTCGGGGTCGGGTTCCCGGGGCCGCTGTTCGAGTGCCCGCACGGCCCTAGTGGGCCGCTGCGGCGCGCTCCGCGCCCGCGGGGCGCGCGACAAGACGCTGTGTAGCGAGAAACGTCAGAAACGTCAGGAGCAGGAGGAGGAGGAGGCGGGAGGAGGGAGGAGGCTTTCGCTCGACGCAGGCATGACACAATGTTAATGTGTGCTCTGAGTTTCTGCGTGGCTGAGCAAGGCGGGTGGCGCACAGTTGCGTGGCACACCATGGGAGGGAGGAGGGAGGAGGGAGGAGGATGCGCGGCGCCCTGCCAGAGGATGGACGAGGTGGGAGGATGAAGAGGGGGTGGAAGGGGTCAGGAAAGGAGGAAGAGGAGGAGGGGGAGGAGGAGGAGGAGGAAGAGATAGGAGGGGTAGGGAGGTTCCCGATATTGTCGTCGGAGTGTTGCTATCTCTCCGCGGGCCCTAGGGGTATCGACCCATCCACGGGGGGACAGTTTTGGCCCCGGATGCATGTGTACTGGTCCTGGGGCGAGAAAGATGCCGCCAGAGGCAGACACGACGATACAACAACTGGAACACGAAACATTCAATCTGGCGGATGTGTGGGGTCTGGCTGCGTAGAGGCAAATTTTTTCCTAACGGTCTTGGTGTCGGGCTCTCAGGCTTTGTTGGGCAACCAACAAGTAGCCACGGGGCAACCAACGGGCAACCATAAGACAGCCACTTAACTCGGGCCGGGCGAAAGGGGGGGATTGGGAAAGGGGGGGGGTACGAAATTTGCTGCATGCAGTTGGTTTCGGCCCCACCGAGGGACCCCATTCCTCGATACATGGTCGCCTCCCGGCGCCGGGAGGCGCCGGGAAAATCAGTTACGCGAGCTGATTCTCAACCCCCCCTTTGCTATCCCCCCTTTTCGCCCAGCACGATTAACAGCCGCGGGACGACAGCGGGAACAGGAGGCGGGCCATGAGACGACAACCACGGGACACAACCGCAGGGCCGAGTCGGGCGGCGCGCGGCACACCCAGGCAGGAACGCGGCGGGCGCTGTGTTCCTCCTCCTTTCTCTCCTCCCCACCTCCCTCCCTCCTCCTCCTCCTCCACCTCCTCCTCTCCGTGCTCCACCCCTCCTCCTCCACCTCCTCCTCCTCCCTGCCTCCTCCACCTCCTCCTACTTGAGTTCAGAACAAGTCGCCTAGAAATGGCGCGCCTGTGCGCGGCTCGCCACTGTTTGCAAAGTCGGCAAGTCACAAACGCACCACAGACAGAGAATGCCTGGTTGGAGTTGGTATCAACGCACGCGTGCGCCCCAACTGTGAGCATTTAGGCCCCAGAGTCTCCTAGAGTGTCGTGTGCCGGCAGCCAAAAGCACCGCCATGATCCAGTTGAAACTTGATCAGATTGCGACGTGGCAGAGAGCCGCCTCGATATGGGAGCACATCGCGCAGCTTCGCCCCGCCCGCCAGCTCGCGCGGTGCTGTCCGAGATCGAAATCCGAGCCCACGGGGATCATGGTCGGTCGGCCGTTCGCACAATGGTGCCCTACAGCCGGAGCTCGACCGCAAGAAGCCTTCCACAGGAAACCCGACCCTGAGACCCAAGGACGCCCGCGGATTGTTGGCGTGG